CTTTTTTACCCACTACCACTTTGATTATCAAGCCTATTGTCCTTCCATCCTTTTTCTCCTTCCCAAAAAACAGTTGTTCATTTGGAGCTATGCATGTACCAATTACCCCATACCAACATACGTGCAATTGTCCAAGCCATTGCTGCCAAATAGAAAGTATGGCAACAAAGTTCTGCCTGCCTTTTCCTCTCTGGGGTTACAAATTTGAGTTTCGCTCCACCACTTGTTTGCTAATCTTTGTGAAATTTGTAGAAATATAAATATCTTCTGCTTCTCGTTCAAAAGAGTTCAAAGTTCTGATTATCTTAAAGGCTATGTTTTTACGTAAAGAGGGGGAGAGGGATAAACTGAGCAGCAGTGCTTTCTCTTAAGCCCTGTTTTCTTAGATAAATAGGCAAAAAATCAGATTACCAGTGACATAGCATATGTAAACTTAGGTCATCCAGATGTTTCAAAGCATAGTCCAAACACAGCATTTGAATAACAAATGTGGAATTCAAGAGAGAGGCAAATTTTAGTAGTTAATATTCAAAAGGCTAAGGTTTATTGTTATACTGATTACTTTTAAAGTTTATGTGGATGCCAGTGTCTCTTTAATGAGCAGAGTTGCTTTGTAATATGTGGGGAAGGAGTAGGTTAGGTTGTCTGTGTAACGTTTTTAGAAACACTCTATTCACTTTGTTTTGGTGGGCTTCCTACGGGACGGTTTTTAATAATTCCATTCAGAGATAAAAATTATATATTTCATTAACTGTTAGAAAGGACAGAGAAGTGTCCGGAAGAATTATCATAATCTGGTAGACAGACAAATCACTCCGTCTAAAATGCTCTCCCAGCCCCTTCTTTGGTAAACATCTTAGACAGGAGCCACTGGATTGGATGCATCCTGAGCTCATTCAGCTAGCAACACAATTTTCCCATTTCATGGCAGTTATCTCTTGTTGATTCCATTCACCTAGCTTTATAGGGCTTAAATGTCAGTGCCTTTTCTGATAGGGGAGTGTTGTTATGCAGTGGTCTGCTCCTGCTACTTTTATTCCTGTAGATGTAACTTTGTTTGCTTAAGTATCTTATCAGATCCTGATCACCATGGCACCTAGGTTTTCTTCTCTTGCATTAGAAGAGGTTCTTTGTCTCCAAAGTGATGCTAGATTATATTAATGCACCTGCAGCAGAGGATTTAGAAGCAGCATTTGGTTCCCCCAGCAACAGAGACAAAAACAGCAGAAGGCAGAGCTGCGGCCTTAGCAACAGAAGTTGTCAGAAATTTGAGATTCTCCTTCAGGATGCTGACCTGTAGATTTTGCCTGATGACTATTGTCTCTGAGTCCAGTCAAGATGCATAAAAATTATTCACATACATTTACTTAGAATAGTTTTACTTTAATTAAAAAAGATATTTTTTTCTGCACATCACAGACTGAATAGAAATTTTCTTAATCATGCAGATAAACGTTACTCAAATGAGTAGTCTTCAGGAAATTAACTGGACTGTTCAGTTGAATGAGATTGACCTGTGTGAGCAGAGCTTTCTCTTAAAGGACTGCATGACGGAATCCATTCAAATCGATGTCACAGGGTTTCCCTGTGATCGATGCATGTTCCAGTATTTTCATTTAGGCAGAATAATAATGCTACCTCACTAACACATATTCATCTGCTTGAAAAGAACATCATATATCTCCTTCTCTAATGTTAACAATACATGCAAAAATTCTTTATGGCTGCATAATTACAGAACCACAGGATAAAACACAATTTTGTAACTTTAGTGTGATTGTTCTTCTAAGAACTAAGATATGCATTGCTAGCTCAAGCCTGTTTTTCTGTTCTATTATTCATACATGTTATTCTTTTATATTGGTTGTAAAATTTAAGGGTTTGTATGTTAGAGAAAATACACTGCTGAAATAAAAAGTTGAAGTAAACAGCTTTATAATTTCAGAATTGCCTTGTAAAAAATGCAAAATAACTAGTGTTTTCTTTCTAGCATTCAAGAATCTGTTTTGTTCTGTTTCTGTTCTGATCCCTTCTAACAGCAGTGAAGTCCTTTATAAGGAACTTCTGAGATCTGAAAAGGAAAATCACTACCTAAGAACTGGGTATTGTAATTGCGATGATGAGGTAGGAATAGTAGGACAAGATCAGCCTCATGGTGAACATGGGGGCAAAAAAAAGTCCAAGTTGAGTCAGACAATGGCAGAAGGACCTGAGACCATGCCAGAATGCTTCTCTCTACACCTTTACCTCACAATCCTCAAAATAGAGTTGCCCATTACAATTTCTTCATAGGAAAGCCTTCTTAAGACCTTCTTGCCTTCCTCTTCATTTATCGGTTGCAGTTGAAAGCTACAATCCTACAAGTGTTTGAGCTGGCATGGCTGAAAAACTAAATTACAATAAGAGGGAAAGAATCAGCAGATGAAGAGAGGAGTGGACAGGAACCTCCTTGATTGCCTTTGCTGCTACAGCAAATAGCTGTGGGTGTATACAGCCAAAATAATAGCATTCTCAGGTCGTGGCTGATCTGTGTGGAGAAACAGAACCTGCCGTTCCTTGCAGTTACTTCCTTAACTCAAGAATCAAAAGTTTATGTTGTGAATGTAGGGATTTCAGCTATTTTCAGAATTTACATGGATTTAAAGGTAATACCAGATGAGGAAACTTCCCATTTTTTATTTGCTTTTTAGAAATCTATACAATCTCATTGTGTAAAAATATGTTACGAATATTAGTAGGGCACGTTCAAATTCTCAGAAGAAAGGTATTGATTCAGCCCCTGTAAAAATGCATTGCAAAACAGTCTTTAATTATACACACTTGTCCTACTACAGCCAGAGTACATTAGAATAGTTAAAATGGGTACAATACATTTCTGGTGTAATTCCACAAGCTCTAGAAGGAAAATGAATCTCAGTGGTCCTGCTCTGTGGGTAGTGAGACTCTTGGAACATTCAAGACAGAAGAGTAAGCAGGATAATACTGTTACCAAAATGACTGTCCAGTAACTTCTCAAAGGAGACAGATATGGGTAACATCCAAACAGAAATCTGTGAGAACTTCAAGCTGCATTTTGCTACTATAAAAGCAAAGACTGCTGATACTGGGGTTGCCACCTGTGCCACATGTGGCAAAAGACAAAACAGAAATAGAAGGGATTTTTCCTAGCTATTCAGTTTGCAGAATGCAGAAGTTTCTATTGTTAAGAAATAAAATGTGCTATAGCTTCGTGGGTCTTATCCTGCAGACGTTCACCATCTGTGATAACGATTATCAAAACCAAGACTGTGGACTTTGACCCAGCCAGCCTCTGGTCAGAAATGATGCCTGGTAATCCTGCATTGCCGTTTGCAATCCCTGCATTGCTGGGATAACCGTTCCAGGGCAGCGTTCAAAGCCTTGTCTAGCATGGTGCATATTGGGACAGATACCCTTATCATAGCATTTCTCTGGGGACTGTGACTAGAACAGTACTAAAATATACATCACAGTATTGATATCTGATTTCACAGTTAACCATTCTCTGTACCTCATAGGAATCCCTCATAGCATTTATCAATGACATAATTATCCATTTGTCTTAATAAAGTATGAAATGTTAATAACCAGTACGTAACTGGTGTTGCAGTAGGAGGCCTCAAGGGGTAATAGGCGGCTATTAAGTACAACAGCTAGAAATCACTGTGTACCTTAATTATAGTTTCATCTGCCTTGAAGAGGTAGTTGAGTTGCAAGTACTTTGTAAAATACAGTTATAGCAAATATTTAGAAGACCTAGATGGAGAAGATCAGTCAGGAAGAACTCAAACAGCAGTTCAGAGGCTTAGCTTCATGTGGCAATGTAGTAGACAACTGACTGAAGCCTCTGAGGATAGACTAGGCTATAAAAGAGGAATACAGAGGGCAGAGAGAGGCAGAAGGAGTTCAGCCTAATGAAAGCTACTGAAAAAACTGGAGGATTTACAAATCACCACCTGCAGTATTTCTACATCAGCTTCCTCTGTGAGTTCTCTGAATACCTAGAAATCTGAAACTAGCTTCAGGGTCTGCCTCATTTTAAGTATATTGGCTCATGTTCAGTCCACCCCTGTATACACCTTTGCTTACATGGGTTTAAAACCACATTTTTCATAAGCATTGTGTATAGCCAGGGCCTTCCATAAGGTAAGACTACTTTGGCAGGGAATGTGTTCTCTGGGTCTGTAATTATATATACAGATGGGATACTTGAATGTAATATTTTGTTGCACTGCAGAGGAAGATTCTCCATAAGGAGAATGAATGAGTTTCTAGACCAACACGAAGTGCATCCCTTAGCATATACTTAGCAAACTCCACTGAATCTGGAAGAACCAAAACCCCAACTTCTTCACAATTCAAAACTTTTAGTCATGCTTTTAGGCATTAAATATCTTCTTTTGGATGGTGTGTTGATATGCCAGCTTCTGAAGTTTTGTGGAAGAGCAGTAGTTTCTAGAGAAGAATGGGAATCCTTCAGTTGTTGATCAGTCTTTTGACTCTACCAAAAGCACAACAGATGAAAACAAGACTAAAATTACAGGTTAATTCCTTGGAAATGGTCACATCAAGACCATAGATTTGAAGCAGCAGGCTTTCTACACCTGTTGGACATCTGCAGCAAGTACCTTTAGTCAAATCTGAATTGTTTATAGCTGAATTATTCACAAAGATCTGAGCCACCTTGGGCCTGGCACCACATGTGAATTAAGAAGCTCCTCGGTAGTCCTTCAGAACTAAAAACTCAATACAAAGACCTATGTGGCTCTGTGGAAACCAACCCAAGATGGGGCTGATGCCGAGACTCAACTAATAAGCTCTGCAGTCTCCATTCAAAGCTTATCAAGTGACTGCACACTGCTTTTCAGTATGTCCCATAATGTCTATATTATTTAGCGTGCTTTTTCCTGTTACTGGGATTATTTCAGTGTGATACTGGCTTGTACTTTCATTTCCAAGAATTTTAATTAAAAAGTTCAAGTTTGGAATTTATATTGCTGTAAATGATACATGCTGAATCTGAGTGCCATTTTTCAAGAGTCTGTTTCAAAAGGCCATTTGAGCAGTTCAAGTTTTAAAGAAAGGCTCTTGACCTTATGGTGAACTCCAGAGGGAAACAAAAGTTCAAATGTTAGTTGCTATTTCTCCAGCACATAGAGCCCTACAGTGTGTAAGGATGCCAAGTTTCAGTCTTCTAGTTTGATGGGAATTTGCCAATTAATTATGTTTCAATAAAAGAAGAAACCGTATTGTGTAACAGTATAGTTCTTAGCAGACCTCTCTGTGCAGTTGCCAGGGAGCTGAAAGGAACTTGAGTAATTCAGGTGCAGTGCCAGGCCTGAGATGTTTCTGGGCACTATGGATCGTCTGGCTACAGATAATCAGGAGTCGATTGTGCGTATATTAGACTCTGCAACTCTGTTGTATAATTATACTAAAATCAGTGTATTGCAGTAGTAATTAGTTTTGAACAAAAACTTCTGTTTCACAATGTTTGAATTAAAGATGCATCAACACATCCTCATGTTGCAGCCACTAGATTTTTTTTTTAGGCCACTAAAAATATTTTAATATCTATTAGTGTTTCACAAAATGGGCCTGAGAGTCGTGGGCTGTCCTAACAGAACTCAGAAGAACCCACAAATATTGAGCACCTGTGATTATAACTACAGGATAAAACACAATAAAGTTCTCCAGCAGTGTTTGTAGTAAAAACAACTATCTTTTTGTAGTCTTATATACACCATACTTTCAATATTCATATTTAAAAGAAAGAATTTATTATTAGTTTCTTAGATTCTTCTTCAATGCCTTGTATTTGAACACATGGATAAAAGATGAATGGAGTCGGTTCTACGATTCACTGTATGTAAAAGAGAACTGGATCGATCCACTGCTAAGGTAAGCAGTACTTAAGTAGCCTGTGGCCACCTCAAAGTTTAAAAGCTGGGAAAGCCTCCCCTGAAAGCTCAATTTGCTGTTAAACTGTTTCTTCTATTGAAGTCAGTCAGAACCCTTCTTGTCTTTGTGAGACTATAGTCATCCCTTTTACTTACCCAGGGGCAAGCTTTTCTTGTAAAAAAGTCCTTTCACAGCTGTTGTACATTTGTTTCTCAGTGCCCCTGAATAGATCAAACATCATACTCTGAAAAAAATAGAAGGTTCAAATTATCTTACAGAGTTATATTCGTGCCTCATAAGTCAATTCAGTATCTGAATGACATTAAGCATATGAAAAAGGTGTTTGACTTCCCTGAGTTTGGCTTTATGCACAGACTTGTTTATGCTGATGGTCCTAAAATCCCTGCTGAGCAAATCAGATAAGCATGTAAACAAGTCTCTTAAAATTATTATTTATTTACACAATTGCAGCACCATTTAACAGTTTAAATGCTCTGAGGTGCAGGTGTATCCACTCATTGGTTAGGTGGTGATACAGTAGCATGACTATCCTTGCCAAACTGGAACATTTTCAGGTGGAGAAACAGTAACTCTGCAGCCTATTGTATAACATTTTCATTCATTTTTACCCAGGACAGATAAATTAGAGATAGCATTGGTACGCCTATATGGCTGCAATCATACATCCTCCTCCTGCAGTATAGATTAACCCAGATGATGGCAAACACTCTTAGACAAAAATATGTTCCAAACAGTGTCAGCTGAGGAAGAGTTTGCATGTAGTTCAGTCATATCAAAGTCAGTAGAATTGATTCTTTCATACTATGTCGATTATGCCAAATCAGCAAATGTATAGTATAAATTTGGCTGGCAATGCTCTAAATTACACTTCATTCTACTGGAACTGTGGGGATATATTTGAAGTCAGAATTTGACTCAATATATTCCAGTGTAGTAATTCTAATTATAACGGATGGTTACAATAGTATAAAGACACAGATAGAGATGTATAGATAGAGAGGTACACACATATCCACACGCTTTTTATATGTACATATGCACGCAGGCAGATGCTTAATCTCTTGCTTGTTTCATTACCACTAAGCTTATTGGAGCTGTCTTTCACAGTCAGTTAAGTTCCATGTAATGAGCACATGTTCTGCCTACAAGTAGTAAATGTAAGTTATACAAGAACATATTTGGTTACTGGGTTTGAGGGTTACTGGGGCTGAGGATGCATTGATCAGTTTAATCAGTAACTTAAATTATTTTAAATATGTCTTTGTATTCCTCTTTCTAATGTCAATGAGGTTAATATAAAGAGTCCTATTTATTTTACTGGAGCTGCATTAGTTGCAGAAGTTACTTGCAAGCCTCATCCCATAATGACAGTACCAGCCAAGGTAACAGTCACATAAACAAGTTGCTGTAAATTTGCGTTGTCAGCTTTTTAAGTTCTGTGAAAGCTCCACTGCACGTGTAATACTTAAGGACAGAACACATATAGAGGAGGAATAACTGACATGAAGCTATCACCATAATTAGCCCTGTGATAACTGTTTGTGTCTTACCTCGAATTCCGCATCTTTCTGTCATTCCTTGGAAGAAATCTGAACCTTCATACAAGCCAAAATCCAAATACAGAAAAATAAAAACCATCTGACTGACCCAAAAGGTTCATTGAGGGTTCATTTGCTAATTCACCAAACTCCTTGTATCTTTCTATTTTTTTATTAGAACTGCCTGTGGCATCAGATTGATTTACGTGTGCTCTGTCAGTTGGTAAAAGTGGCAGTACTCAGACAACTGTTTGTTCGTGATCGCTTAATCTAAGTGTGTTAAATGTGTACTTAGCTTATGACAGCTGCTTTTCTGATTCATAGACTGGTCCTGCTGTGAACAGAACTGGCAGCACAATTGCTTATTCAGTAAAAACAGTGGCTATTTCACCACTACTAGTCTGAATGGACTAGCATCTGTCAAGAGCTGAAGTAACCCAGTCCAACTAAATCATGAGTACAGATTTAGAGGTCAATTTTATTAAAATTGAATGAATGAAAACATTGCAGACTTTGCACCAATGCCAACCTCATATACTGCATGTAAGTTTGTATGAAAAAAAATGAAATAAAATTGGAAAATGTGTTTTTATTTGAAGATGGCAGCCAAAAGTACAGCAACTGATTGAACAGCTCACAGACAAACTGAATAATTGTACTACCACTGTGAAGACTTCAGCAGTCACTCAGCCAAAGGAATTTAATTTGACTGCACCCAAACCACGTGCCATTCCTGTACCTCTGCCAATACCAGTACTGGGAAAAAGGCTACCTGTGAGTTTTTTTATGCTTTGAGAGATACTAAGTTTTGTGTATGATGATGAACAAAATAATTGTAGGGGAGTTAATACTCTCTTTAAAAATAATTGTAGAAAATCTACGACTTTTGACAGATCAACAAGGATTTTTGTAATAGTCTGTGTTACTGAAGGTCAGATTTCTATAAAAACCCAAACTAATTCTTTTCATTTCAGTGAATGTTGTGTAAGCAAATTGTAAGCCTAACAAAGAAAAGGGAAAAGTTGGTTCCTGTAGTTGTTCTGTGACTTTTGGAGGTAGAACTAAACAATGGGTACAAACTGATGACAGCATTGATACAAGTGTTTCTAGTAGTCCTTGGATTTGTAAGATGTCTGCTTTGGATAATGTACTGAAGCAGATAAGAAAAGAACGTTCAAATGAAAATTTTTATAAACATAGATTTTTTGTAGATGAACTCTCATCAAAATAAATAGCAAACAATTTCACTGGAGGTGAGATGGACATTAGTTTTGCAGCTCCTCCTTGAGGGCGGAATTTTATTCCTTTCTAGTCGTATTAATGTTGAATCTCTAAAATTAAGGTTTTTCATTTTAAATTTATTGCTCACATGTAAATGAGACTAAGATTTATCTTTGAAATGCTAAACTTTTATTTTACTCATTGTCTAAGATTGTGATTCAGTTATGCTGGTATGTATGAGAGACACACCATTGGTTTTAAGTAAGTTAGCTCACTGGGGTCAGGCAATCAGGATTTGGGATCAAGCTGCTATGACTAACTTAATAAAGACTCCAAAATCATCTATATTTAAATGCAGTGGGAAGTGAACTTCGAAGTCACAGTTTTGGGCATTATCTGCCACCTTGTATTAGCACTTCAGGTTTTAAATAATACATGTGTTGAATGCTCTTAGAAACCATTTACATCTTAGGATGGCAGAGCAATTTAATGGTAGTATGTTATACAGTTAATGGGATTTTTACACTGAAACAGCTTAATACCAGGCTCTGAAAAACTGCATTTAATAACTACTTAATCTGTACAGGAATGAGTCATGTTGCTGTCATTTTAGTACCTTTATGCTGTGGAGCCCCACTTAGAATAAATTTGCTTTAATGTGGATGCGTTTACTGAAGTTCATTCGTGTTGTTAGGATTATACCAAATTCGGTTTACATTCTGGCCAACTCTGCAAATTTAAAAGCTTGTCTGAATCTAAAACCATTAGCGTAGTAGAGACATACGTTTTGCTCATTTCTGTACCTATCTCAGCAAATTAAGCCTTACTTTAATTTGCCATATTGTTGCCAATATCACCATTTTAGATCCTGAAATGAACAGAGACTGAAAAGAGAGCCTAGATGGCAAAACAGAGTTAGTAAAGTGAGAGCAAGCCACAGTTTTGGCTACTGCATGGTGGGGAGTTTTTTGTAATCGAGAGGAATGCACAGAAATGAAGCTCTTCCAGATTACATCCCATAATCTGCTGCAGACATGTTCTCATCCATTTTCTCACAAAGTTGTTAGTTTTATAAGATAGCCATTTTTCTCATGGTTCTCTTGCACGTGTCCAGGAACTTGTCACGTGGCACATTAGCAGGGACTATTGTAGTGACAATAACTACAGGCGTAGTTACTGCTTGACTTTGAAACAGCCATATGAATTCATATGGAGGCATCTGGATTTTGAGCAATGAATACTGATAAGTTATTGCATCCCTATGGTGAAATTAGTTCATTCTGATTAATAAGATTATTATTTCAGATATTTCTTTCTGCCAGGTTGCATTATATTGTACAGTAGAGACGAAATGCAAAGGAAGATGAGATGTGTGACATACCTTGAGTTCAGGAGCTGGGATCGCACTGCTGTCCTGTACACTGGACACATGCTTCCTTCACAGGAGAGGGCTGAGTCTGTGGGTGATTGCAGAAGGCAGGGTAGTTGTCTTAGTGATCTACGTTGAGATGGGACTCTCCACTGACCTTGGAAAGTTTCATTGGATTAACAAGGGCCTAGAAGGTTAGGATAATCATTCAGCATCATAAACATTCATCAGGAATGGGGGACACTAAGTGAAAAGGAAAAACACTTTAATTTTGAAATTTAATAAGGAAACATTTAACTCTAAATATTTGGTCTAATGGTTATAAAATGTTCTCTCCACTGTCCCTTACACACAAGCATATGGATGCACACACAAGCATGCATGTATGCATACACACATTCATAAATACAATTCTGCAAAGAAAAATAAGTGCTTTGTGTTGAAGTTTGCAAAGGAAACAAATGGAGACAGGTGCTTAAACCTGATAACATGCAAAATGATTTGGACATATTTAACTTCCTTGGATATCTTGGCCTTGAGTTATGAAAACCATTTTTTTTTATATCACCACTGTACTAGAATAATAAGATTATGCAATTATTTTATTTTTAGATTTTCAGTAAACTAATAAGTTAAACCAAGTAGTTAAAAAAAAATAAAAAGGCCGCACTGAGATGTTATTGTAACACCATTCAGCCAAATTTAGTGTATTTTTAGATATTTTCCTTATTATTTCAGCTGTGCTTCATGAGTGAAATTGCTGATTGTTTAAAATAATTAAATAGGTGAATTCATTTGGCCAATACAGAGGATTTGGTTTGCAAATATAGTGACCAAAAAATATATTTATCTTTATGATCTTGTTGTGTATAAAAATAGAGGCTCTTAATACAAAAGCATTGCATTAGCTTGTCCTTGTCTGTCTTACGACAGTAACTTTAAAAAAAATAGAAGATTGATGAGTACCAAAGTTCAAAGTGATTATTCATGTGGCACCTACTCCTTAAACACACCTCTGGTAAGGATATCCAGAAAGCTGGAGAAGAAGAGCAAGGTTGGTGTCTCTTACTCCAAGCCCCCTTTCTTCACATTAGGATTAAATAGCTACAGTTTGGCCTTTTTGATCTCTCTATGGCTGGAATTTAAACACATTTATAGTGAGTTATTCATCCTCTTCCAGCAACTGGGTATGTGCTGTATTGTCTGTCTGTCTGGTTGGTACTCATCACCATGGTATCTGAGGGCTAAATTACAAGGCTAAGATCATTTTTGAAACAGAGCTGTTTGAAAAGTCTCCTCCTTAAATTACTTGGAATAAACGTAGCAGCTTCTGAGGAGAGATTTTCAGCTTACACTGGCAGATGAGTACTGTTTTGCAGGTAAAGCATATGACTAGGAAGAAGAGTGAAATAAACTGATACTCACTGCCTGCACAACCCTTTGCAAATCCTCTGGGCTTTAATTTCTCCATCCATAAAAGCGTAATAAAAATTCTTAGATGCTGCTGGGAAATACTTTCAATTTTACTTCACTTAAAAAGCTCACAAAAATACTTGAGCAGTTTCACCAGTGCATTTAATTGCTAGCTGCTTCTGTCCGTGCATTTATTTTCCTGTAGATGGTGATGTCAAATAGCAAAGGCAGTGGAAAGTACATCAGATTCATGAGTTTTTTCAAAGTATAGCTCTTTATATAGTCTAATAAAACTAGATGGGATCTCCTCATTCCCTAAACTGACTTCCAGTACAATGTAGATTATAGATTTTTCCCATTAATTCTTGAATTAATTCTGCAACTTCTAATTGAGCTAGAACATTTTTAGCAAGATAAATATTCAAGCAGATGTCCAGTAAACCAGCAGACTATCTCTCCCACACAGGAAGGAGTTCTTGCTCCTGGGCAAAATTTCCTGCTCAAACAAATATTGAAATCTCCCAGAAGGTTCAGCCTAACTCAAAACCCTAGACTCCTCTTGATCCATATGACAGCCAGACAATAAGTCTTTCCTGTTTTTTTTATCTGTAGCACTTTCCGACATGCGAATGCTTTCCTACATCTTTGACTAGTGCTAGGAGGTCCCTCTCAGTCCTGTACCTCCAAACATTTATCTTACACCTCCAACATAGTAGACCAGAGCAAAGGCCCATTTTGCCCAGTGTTTTTTCTCCAGCAGTGGCCAAACACAGGTGTCTAGGAAGACTACAGGGACAGGACAAGCATAGCTACTGCTTTCTCCAACTGCCTTCCCAGTCTCCCACCATTTCAGCTCAAAGACTTCCTCAGTTACAGGGAAATTCCTGGGTGTTTAATAAACTTCAAAGAATTTATCTTCCCTGAACTTCTTTGGAGTCTCTGTAACTTGTTACTACTACCACACACTGTGCCAAAGGGCTCCATGGCTGAACTTTCTTCAGCTGCCCTGTCTGGCTGCCAGTGCTGGGAAGGTGAAGTTTATGAGATGCCAAACAGAACTTTTCCCCTTCTGACAACTTCTTTTTCCCCTCAATAGGGCCTATAGGATTTATTGTTTATTTAGCCTTTCTTGTACTAGTTTCAGATTTTTCTTTCTTTCTGGTCTGTTGTCCAGGGGTTACATTACGTTGGACAGGACCGAAAAGCCTGGGTAGTCCCAGCTAATTGGAATCTGCCCATTTCTTCTACACCGGCACTAAGAGAAAAGAATCAATATTTAAAAAATAACTGCAGCTGTTCTACAGTAAAAGTAAATGTGTGTTTTTCCTGAAAAAATGTGTTGCTTGGAATGTTTCATACCCCATACTGTGGTATGTGGTATACTGTGGAGATTATTGCCTTTTAATATAGGTTCCTCCAAGCACCTACAAACCTCCAAAGGAAACAAAGCAGCTAGAGGAAATCAAAATAAAAAATCGCCGAAAAGCAGAAGTAAGTGTATTATATTCTTGTTCTAGTCTTTCTTTTAATCTAAACTGTTTCTTCTGTAATGTTCCATTTTCACAAGTCTTAGAACTTTATCTGAAACATATTTGCTTTCGCACCTAATAGCTCCTGGCTCTTTCTCTAGAGTCATTAAGTTTGCACCCTCTATTCTGTTCTATCACCCTTTTTCCATCTTCCTTATTTTATTAGTAATTGCCTGAGACAAGGTCCACCTTTTATTCACTATACAAGTACTATGTGAGAAGTTATGTGAGTAGCCATGTAAGGTAGTAGAGACATGATTACTTTCTTCTCTTCGCAACCTTGAAATAGTTTGATGGCTCCCACAGGACATGTGGATTTAAGGTATTCACTTAATAATTAAGGCTTCAAAATACATTCAATATTTTTGTTTATTTTGTATAGTAACTGATAAATAAACACACCATCACCCACTGTTTTAAAGTATCAGTAGATTCTGACTTTGTTTTTGTGCAGACTCCATTCTCTTTCCTTCTGCAGGCTGAGAGAGTGGAAAGTCATCACGAGTTGTAAAGAAGCAGAGTACATGGTCTGTGTGCTAAGAGAGCAGGAGAAGGGAGGGCCTGGAAAAACAAAGAAACAGATCTTGTTATTTGATCCAAACTTTGATATGAATCCTGTTCAATGAGTTAGCTCCTATAATAGTTAAAGCAGATTGCTGTCATCTTCTCCTTGAAAGGGAATTAATTAAATGTCGGTTTCCACTTTCTTTCTTCCTCCCCACACTGCAGTCACCATACCAAATCTAATAACAGTATAAGCTTGATAAAAGGCATGCTGTTTGACTCCTTTTTATCTGCACCCTCTCACTCCCATTTTGAAAATCCCTTACTCTAGCTTTCACTAGCCAGTACAGGTCGATTTATCACTGTGCTGGGTTCTCCTCATGTCCTTGTGAAAGGGGGATTGATTCTGTTCCTAAGCTACAGTAAATGCTTTAATATGTGATAGATTCTAGGGGGATAAACTTTTAATTCCTTTTGCTGGCCCATCACATTACCTATGCTTGCTGCTTCATTATAAACCAATACAAGATTATTTTTTATCCTTTTATTATTTCCATATTGTGGAGAAAGCACACACCTATTTGTCTGCGTGCTTATTTGTACGTACAAACTTCCTAGAAAAACTGGGGAGGAAAGGCAAGATATCACAGTGCCTATATTGTCAAAAATCTATGACAACTATAAAATCACTTAACTACCAACCACATTCTTCAGGGGAGAGAATATATGAATACAAAGAACAAAGGAAAACCACCACAGAAATTATAGCTGCAATAACAGCAGTTTTTGTTGCCTCTGGAATGTTATAAAAGGCATCCAAAGCATTCACAAAGGTCAGTTCCCTAGACTGTTTGCTAAACAAGCTGAAATGTTGGGTCCTAAAAGAAATATTCATTAAAAATGCCATTTGTTTGATAGCATTTTTGCAGAAGCTGTAGCTGTCGTTATGAACTCTAATGTCTGAGCATCTGTAAGAAGGAGTGAGAAGCACTGATGTTATGGACAGCTGCAGTCCAGAAAGCCATTAGAAAATCTAGTCTCTAGTGTTTCACAGCTTTGGTTAGAGATTACTGTTTACAACTAAAAGAAATATCCAAAACCTAAAAAGTGGTTGCCTGTACTTCCCCCTTTAAAATGAATTGCTCTTAGGTGTGTACGTATTGGGGCAACCCTTGGTGCTCAGATCCCCTGATCATAACCTTCTAATTTAACTCAAAAACAAAGCCATTGTTTGCTAGCTATGTGGCAACAGTTACTGCCTTTGGTACTGTTGTGCCATAGATAATTATGAGGCTTTTAAGTTGAATTCTAGATGACCAACATGTTTCATATGTCAAAGGCCTGATACCCTGTGCAAAGGATACAACCAGGCAGAACTATGTAGAAAATAAGGACTTCCCTACTTTAAGTCTTTAATCAGGAGTGAATATCAATATAAATATTAAGTCAAGCTTTCATTCATTCGAAACAAATTAATATACCAGTCTGGGCTGCAAGGCTTTTCAAGACAGAAAATTCTTCTTAGAGAATTTAGATTTACCACACTCTTTAAGCTAATTGCTTTAATTTTAGGATCTGCTCCTGAAAGCAAATGCTGACCAGTTCAGGTGTGCAACTGTGAAGTCTGAAAAAAGAGAGGTATGCTACAAAATACTTTATTACCTAAAAAACTCCCAGTATGTAGATGACTGGACTATTTAAAGATATCTCAAAATATTTGAAAAAATTTGTTTATTTGAGGTTAGGAATTATGTGCTATAATTTATAGCTGTACTATAATTTCACATCCATGCTAGTGTTTTCAGATGTAATATACTAACATTTGCGTCTTTGGATGCATTATGCACAATTCCCTTTTCTTATACTTCTGGTGCTGCTTTATTATTCTACTAATTTTGAGACAAGCAGCCTTCCTGTGATGATACTACAACAAGTCTCCAAACTGGCAATATTTCTCTAAACCCACATATTATTTTCCATTGAATTTTATGCCACAGAGCAGCCCAGCAGAGCAGAATTCTTGCTTTGGTTGATTCCCAGTTTACAGCTATGTCACAAAACTATGTACGTAATATATTCATTTCAGCATCACATCTGCATATTCTGTTCACTGTGTTCATCCCCATGGTAGGAGACACTTGCACATCAGTGTCTATAGCTAACACCATAAAATTAAATTAACAACCATCAGTAGAATTCTACTGCTATTGAATAATTTCATGAAGTGTGCTTTGACACCCTATTTTGTCTTCGCAATATCTGTTTCAGCTAAGAGCTGAATATATTAGTAGTCAAACAAAACATTACTTACTTTTTTAGCATTATTTTAGTCAAAAAATTTTAGTCGATATTTGGACCTACCTTTCTATGGTCATTTGATATTAAATATTCACACTAAGTTGGGTGTATATAGCAAGTTTTTGTGGCTATAACAATTCCAAAATATATCCCCTATGATCATATTTACTGCTCTAGATTAATATTCAGGAGTGATTTTTGGTAAATATTTTTTGGTAAATATTTTTTGCTAAGTACTTGAAAATCTCTCTCTGAAATGAAATAATGTGTTTGTTTTTGGGTTGAACTGCAGAACACATATGAAAGTATGAAGAGTAAACCTGCATTCCGGGCTCAAAAGATGCAAAGCAAAGTGAGTAATCCTTAAAGTACTGTTGTCAGATGTACTTGAAGACTTTGGAGTGAAAAACGCACATGCAAATTCTGTGGTGATGCAAATGCTACTGGAATCCATGTTTTACACCAAGTTCTCTGGCCAGGAGAATGGGATGGGTTGTGTCTATGGCTCATAAATTTTGGCCTATGCGCCACTAACAATCCACAAAGAAATGGTCAGGGAGCAACAGGAGTGTGACTGCTCCAGGAGGGAAGAGAAACAAGGAGCCAAAAGTAACGAAAGCACAGACAGTGGCCTCACCAACCCGGCCATAGCAGTATCTGAACATGACGTTGGTGGTAGTGACGGGCTCTGCTGACAGCCAGTCATCCTTGGACAAAGTAAGGTAACAAATCAGGGCTGGGGTCCACCCAGAAAATCCAGTCAGGAGACAAGGCTACAACAGCAACCCAGGTCCATGACAGCAGGAGACAGAACTAGAGAGACAACCAGGAGCAGCATTACCTCCAGCAAAATGGGAAAGTACCAAAGCAGAGACCTGAGCTGAAGTGGGGCTCCTGGAGCAGTAAGCAGAGGGTGTGAGCAGAGGTCCTAGGTGACAGGTCAGGGCAGTTAAGACCTGTGGGTTCCCTGAGGGCCCTGACAGGTAAGTTGTGTGCTGTTGCACAATGTAACCATATTGCCTTAACTGTTTTCAATTCCAACAGGAGGAGTTTTTATGTAAAATGATAAGGATTGAGAATACTCCACAGGAAAAAAAAAAAGAATTGTGAACCCATTGTTTAAGAACTCAGCACAGGAACAGAAAGAATCTTGCTTCTCTAAATCACTGTTCCAAAACGAGATTCTAAAGAATGCTGAGCAATCATTCCGGCTAATGACTGTCTGATACACAATATACAATCAGTCTGGATGTTTGTCTACTTTCCTTTAGACACATACTGAGGTCATCAAATCCACTATACTGATTGCTTGTCTGCTAGGATTTCCAGGGGTCAAAGAACTGTAAACGTGGAAAATGGGCTGTTCAGCCCAAACGGTGTAACACATGAAAACTCACATCGCTATTTCTGCAATAACGTTACTACAGATAATCTTCAGTCTTACAACATTCAATCTGTCAGCTTTCATTTGTTTCAAGTTCATATGGAGAATAATATGATGTGGAAGCTGTACTTGTATTCTGATCTCAAATACCTTGTGAGCAGGTCTATCTACTCTTTAAAACTATGTATTTAGGTACAGCTCATACACATTTTGGAAAGACTGATTCCCTGCTTGGGGAACTGGGCACCTGGCAACTATTTCTGAAGCATATCTGGCATTTATCACGTACTGAAGTTATCTGTAATAACAGTATCACCTACTCAGTCTGCTTGCTTACAGTCCAGCAGCATTTAAATTACAGGAAAGTAATAAGATCCTAGTTCCTTCTGCACTCAAAAGAAGGGGAAAATCCCAAAACAGGAAACATTTACACAGTTAACCCAAGTATGCATGATCTGTAAATATGTGGGCTTAGTTCAAGACTGTGTATATTCCACTTCCTTTTCTCATAATTTAGAATACTGAAACCTTACTGCAGACTAATGAGAGTCAAACCATCTGCCAAAAGAAAAATATGGATCTGGCATTTTATGACATTGATCAGGGCACTATCTCCTCCAGGAGCACAATCAGTTTTATCTCATCTAAACACATTTGCCTTATAGGTTGGTTAGGTGATACTCAAGATGCTGCTACAGCTTTCAAGCTGAGGTAGCCATACTGTTATTGACTTATAAAATACTTTCTATTCCTGTTGCCTTCCTGCCTGCGCACCTCTGTGAGCAGACAAATCCTAAGAGGAGGGTTTATCCAAGATGTATAAATAAGGTTATAATCTGTCCTCTAATTAATGAAATTATATAATGTTTTAACCAACTAGTGTTTTCCTTTACTGTTTTTAGAACAGCCCCAGTATATTAAATACATTTTTTTCATTTCAGACACATTTATTATGTGCAGCAGCAATTATTTCTAAATACCTATTCATGCTTTTCAGTGGAAGAATGAGATAGTACAAATGCATCATCACTGTCTCAATCTGTTCTTGCTCATATCAGGCCTTGCTCTTTACATATTTATTGGTTTTTGTGAGCTATTGTGTGTTCAGGTAGACGGAAATAGTGAATACAATTTTTTTCCACAAGAATTACAGTGTTTTGAGATTTTCCTGATCATTTCCAATTTCTCATCTTGGAAAAAAATGGAAAATATGTCACAACAGGAAGAGAATGAATAAAATTCAAAACTTCCTTGATACCACATGACACAGAAGAATCTATTCGGTTATTTCACTTACACCTGTCTGCATCTATCTTGGGAGTCCTAATTATTTTGACTAGATGGGCTGTCATATTTCTGTTTAATAAACTAGGAAACTGAAGTTAAAGGAATTTCCATAATCATTCTTAGTCCAGTTCTCTATCCAAATTATAGTTAGTAAATACAGAATATGAAATCTGTGTACACAGGTAATTGCCAAAAATATGAAAATTTCTACATGTCAGAGAATGTCTACTCTAAGTAGATGTTTTATACATAGTATAGTGTATAAAATACAGACTGAGGAGGAAATGTTCATATAATGCAAAAGAGGAGTTGAAATGTAGAACAAAAGGAGGGAAGGACATCATTAAGAAGAGTAAGTATAGTGAGTCAAAACAAAAGAAATAAAATACGTTGGTTTGGGTTCTTTTCCTAAATTCTTCAAGTTATCATAATTTTGTCAAGAAACAGACAGGTAATTAATTTTTGCCTGTTAAAATGTGCATCTGTGTGGAAAACACAGTAATTCCCCTTAGTGAATTTCTAGAGTTTGTGTTTGTTATCCTCAACATACCTAATTATTATCAATTATAAAACATATTTTTTCCAGTTAGCTTATGTATTTGAGGAGGCTGCGGTATGTATTTGTGCATACAATATTTGCAGTATATATCTTGAGTGATTCTCTGCATCTGTTTCTCAGCCACTCATTAAGCTGTTAAGTTGGAATTTAAATGCATGTTTGGATTCTGAACACAGAACTTGTCTCAGTTTAGATCAAATGTGTCATGACTAAGTTTTGTTCTCTGAAGGAATGACCCCAGTTCTTATCCCACCAGCATTGCTTTGCCTCGGTTCAGATCAGGTCTCTTATCTGTGTGATAAGTTTTTTCTGAATAGCCTACTTGTGCAGGGAACATTTTTAACTGGCAGAGACATTGTTTTCTTCCTCCCTCAGTATTTAGAGGTTGTCTGGGAGTTAGTCCTAAGGCAATACTTTGAAGAACTGCAAAGCTGCCACAGGATCTAGTCCAAGTTACACCAGGAGACCTGAAAGTCACTGAGAACTGTACTTCACTTCTACTGTCTAGAAAATGGATCTGGCAGTTGGTGATGCCAGTTGTCTTAGAAATATTTTGAAGTTATAATAGTGATTATTTGTAAAACACTTCTGAAGCCTTCCTATGAAAGGTACTGTTTGTGTTTTACTTTAATGGTTTTTGCTAACTTAACGTCTTCCAGAGACGCAGTTTATTTTTCTTTGTCCAACACAGATGGAATCCCTGCACACTATGTATATGAGCACTGAAAAAAATGATAGGAAGTGAACACATTCTATGGGATTTGACATGGTCCAAGAGTGATTACAAATTTATAATCCACTTGGGGGATTTTGCTGATTTCTTAAGCAGCTTGAGTAGTTTATGAACAGCATGCAATTTCATTGTGAATGTCAGATTAATGCTAGATGAATGCTTTAAGCAAAATTTATGCTGTCTTAGGTCGATTTATTTAACCCATTTAAATGTTTTTATACTCTGTTTTATGGTTTACAGTACTGACTATAGTATATACATTCCCTTTCCTGACAGATTGACAATATACCTATAAAATTAAATGCTGCGGCTATTTTGAGAGAGGGTGCCCTCTATCAGCGGAAGATGGAACAGGAGCTCAAGAGGTACAATCACGCTTCTTTCTCAGATTACATTTCACATCCCTGGATATAGAATAATTAACCACATTAAAAATAATTAAGTAAACTCCGGGTAAACTAAAATAATGGATCTGTTGTAAAGCATTAGGAAGTTCTCCTATAAACATGGTTGACAAATAAAGAGAAAAATGGACTGAAATGAAAGTGAGCATTAAAATCAATGTTTTACTGTAGATGCTGTACAGTGTGACTGTGTTCTGATTTAGCACTCTGGATAGTGACCAATTGTAAAGTCCAATAAGAATCACTTATTATATTTATTCCAATTCTCCACAATAAATAATGACCCAAATACATATCTATTTCTGTGTCCATTAAAAAAGTGCATCTATATTAAGCCAAATCATTTAATATACCTCCTTTTTCTTCAGTGGTTTGTGGTCAACTGTATGTCAAATTTGATACTTGAACTTGTTTATATATGTATAAAACTTGTTTATATAAAAATACCTGTCTGCTTCTATCACAGTAAGATAAGGAGGACTAAGAGTGTGCTGCTCCACAAGGCAAGATAAGCCAGGAGCTGAGGGTGACAGCAAGGCATGTAGGGACAATGTCCTCACTGACAGCAGCTCAGTTCCATAGTACCCTGGCCAGGCAGCAGAGCAGATCCAGTGACAGACAGCAGGGTCAGCCAGCGGTCCAGTGATTGCTGGATGAGTCAGTAGTGATGAGTCAGGGCTGCAGTCAAGCCAGGAAGCCAAGTCAACAAGGCAGGGTCAACAAGGTCCTAGGCTGGGTGCCGGCACACCTGCAGCATAGCTCAGGCAAGGACAAAGGCTGTTACCATCAGCTTAAATGTGGCTCCCAGGAAGAAACTCTACACACTTTTCATAGCTTGTCTTCACACAGTCCTTTTCACTCCAGTCTGATCTGAAGTTATATGGTTGCACTTCAACAGAGTTGTCTTTGAACACAAGCAACTAAATTCTAGGCAGGGGTGGGGAATAAGAGGTTGCAGGTCCTTTTGGTGCACTTAAGGCTCTAAGGAACCCTGACATAAGGATTCCTCTGACATAAGATGTCCTTATTCAGTAGCATAGGTTTTCAGCAGACATTAACTAGGGAGAGGGTGACTGCTGAGTGGCCACTGCAGGTTGTGTTCTGTACCTAGAATTACAGAACATTTTCACTAATAATTTTAACAAAGGTAAAACCTATATTATGTCATTTTGATTTAGTATTATTTCTGATCTACTTGACTTAGCGGGCTAAGCACTAAATATTGTTAGCATTTTAAGTTCCAGAATGACTGCCTAAGGTTGGATTTGGTCTTTGGACCTAACAAATTTTGGTATATGGATCAGGATTTTAATAGTAAGATATTATGCATCACTCAGCTTCTGTTATCAGCTACGTATGTATATTGAGGTTCTTTTATATTACATATGATACTGTTCACTCTATCTGGCAGAATTTTGTTCCACTCAGCAAAGGAATAGATTTTCCCCATAACTTAACATAAAATAAAATTATATTGAGTTTTAATCTTCAGCTGCATTTAAAACACAACAGATACATAATATATATGCATTGGGGAGCAGCAGTAAGGCACAATTCACCGCATTTTTGTGTCTCTGCCCTAATTCTTGGCTCATTCAGTCCTCTGCTGCAGGACTTTGATGGGCCTGCCCCAGGGCTTTGCTATGCTTTTCTCTCTTGGCCAAGCAAAAAATAAGAATGTGGGTTTGCTTAATAGCTGATTATTTCTTTGCCTCATTACAGCAATATTATTTAATTGACAAAATACAAACCAGAAATAAAATTAAGCAGAAAAGTTTTTTGTTCTCTGTGTTAAAGTTGCCAAGAAGATTGTCAAAGAAAAAAGATATTTGTTCTTTCTACCTCTAAGCAAAGTAATCCTCTGAGAAAATGTACATACCTTCTGCCTGCTACTCCTTGCTCCTTAGGAGAATCTGTATGTAGCTGAAGTTTGCCCTCTCTTGGGGCTTTGTTTTACTGAAAACTTTCAGGTCCATGCCCTCATGCACCTTCTTCCAGCCTGGCTTTCCCAGGTTTTCCACATAGTAGTAACACCTCTTAGACTGGAGGTATCTGTCAAATGACTGGTGATGGCCACCTTTGTTCTCTGCAGAGATCAAACTCCTTATATCACAACAAACTACTAGAAATGTTTTACAAACCATTCCATAGAATAGTATATTCTTTCTTCTGTCTTACAGAATTGAAAATTTGCTGCGAGGGGCTGGAGACCCATCTGAATTCTTGGAATGGCAAAAACAGATGCGTGGAAAAGATTTGGAAGAGCAGCTGGCTGAAACAGAATGTAGGAGACTTCAAGGGAAACTGAGTCGTGAAGAGGCAGTTCTAGCCCATCAGAATGTAACTCAAGAAAATAAGAAGAAAGCTGATCTAATGAGAGAAGAGGTAATACATGCGATATTGCTCAAATTTTGCTTACATTCAATCAGTGCAAAACATACCAAAGATGATACCTAATATAAGAAGTAGTAAAAGTTCTATACAGTGTCTTTACTCACTGGAGTCTCCAAACCATGGAAAAGCTGTGCTACAACTTCCAGGTACAGCAATGCTTATACATTAAAGTACTTTTTTACAAGCATTTGATTTGATTGATAACATTTATGAAGTAAATTGAATAAAACAGAAGGTTAAAGCATTCTCCCCTATATTCATGTCTTTATGCATATCCTTTCTGAACAGATACTGAGATACTGAGATACGGAGCACCACTTGCAATGAAATTACCAATATATGGCTAATTTCATTATCTTGTTAAAATGAGAGCCACAAACATGAAAGAATTTGTTTTCTTAAATGGATATAATTCAATTTACTTCATATTATCTGATGTGCCTAGATCTATCTTAGAGGAAAATGCAGGCAGAGAACCCTCTTTGGATCTATATATATATAAAACTGGATATTTGTGCCAAGAAGTATTTTCACACAGTTTCCAGTCTGGCAAATCACAGTTTCCCAAAAACATTGCTAGATCTTTTAATTTTTTTCCCAAACTCACATTACAATTTTTACAGCACTTTTCTTATAAACTAAACAAGTGATCAAGAAATAGATAATACTATAGATTTTAAATATTTCATAGTCACTATCACAGGCTTTGCTTTTCTATTAGCCTAGTTTGCTGCTTTGCCCTGTAGGCCAGACAGTACTTTTCTCTTGTCCACCTCTCCCAGATGCCTCTGCAGTGTCTCAGCAACTTAAGATGTGACCACAAATGTACAAGATTTTCATAAAGGCCATGCTGCAAAAGGGAAACTTGCCTACTGAGTTCCTTCTCTGACCTTTACCAAAATATTTCAGCTTTTTTTGGCACTGAGTCCTCATGTCTATTTAGACAGGCTGTGGCAAGAACTTAAAGTGAACCCTACTATGGACAACTGAGCATAGTGTGATTGCTCACACTCATTCCAGAATTATTGTAATTATTATATTCATCTCAATTTCAGAGCATAAGTGTTTTATTTGTTAACAGAAATGTCCCAATATGTATAGACTTGGGGATGTGCAAATCAGACTTGCTCTAACCTGGCCAATTCCAGGTGGGTCCCTTCACTTGCCAACAGATGCCAACAGGGCACTTCATCCATATGGAGATCTCCAGAAGTACTGAGCACCAATTCTTCATTCACCAACAGCTGCCATGCTGTCCCCCCTCCTTCTTTGAAAACTCTAGTCTTCCATCTAAAACAGAAAGTGCAGTAACGAATCTAGTCTGGAAAAGTCCAGTTCCCTGCTTCCTGTTCATTTCCTCTGACAAAGAAGGAAACATGATAGCCAAAAGTGGACTTTCTGTAGGTTACAGAGATACGATTTAGGCCCACGAAGATCCTGCAGGCACACAACCAGCTGTGTATTAGATTGGCACTCTCCGTGGTATCTCACAACCAGATCCAGGGATGGCATTTTTTGTCTGCTTTTAGAAACACTGGCAGGGGATCCTGGAAAATGGCAGTGCAAACGTTACAGAAGCCTGTTGTGGTTAAATAAAACATAGAGAGGGGGGCTTAAATCTAGGTCTCTATGTTGTCCCCAGTCAATGTCCTTTGCTAGTTTTGTGTATGATGTAGTATTTTGAATACATTTGTCCTTGCACTATTTCGGTGATTTGAGTCTTGATCATCAGTTATCAGGAATTTTATTCACCTTTTTGTTTGGGATTTAGAAAGCAGAGCTGATGCACCAGTATGCACAGAAGCGTCTACAGGAACAGCAAGAAATGAGAGAGCTGGTGGAGCAGGTCGTGGAAGGACACAAGAATGCAAAGCAGGCAAAAATAAAGCTCCAGAAATACAAACAGCAGATAGGTATTTATATATTGCCAGAAAAATTAGAGATTATGTCAAATTTCCCCAAGTTACTTTATCTTTCTTTTAGTGGGCCAATTACAATTTTTACAGAAAAGAAAGGGAAGTTGAGGGAAAGATCCGGGCTATACTTTCCCATGAATGCATGAATATGAATTCCAGGAATAAGCTGGTAATGGGTAGATCAGAAATTCTAAGCTACTGGTCATGGGAATTACTCTTTGTTTAAAAGGGAGAAATACAGCACTAATGCTTTGCAACTAGTTTCCCTTCCATCTAGAAGTAGCATATGTGAATGAATGTACATTTTGTCAAATCAAATTGTGAAGCTCAGATTCTTGTGATTCATGTCATTAAGAAAGGATTTGCCTAGCAACCACTGTGAAAGAATCATAGCTCAACATTATTGTCTTCTCCAGACAAGACAATCCAGAGAAGAAGACTATAGCTAAGGAAAGAAAAGCCATCTCCTAGGACAGTATCGCAATGGAAAAGGATGTAGCACCTCCAAGACAGACCAGTCGTTAGGATGAAGGGAAATAATGTTACTCGTCCTCGATTATTCTTAGAGAAAACTCTTCAGTTAAGGCATTAACTAATGAAGGCCAGGGAGAAGGCTGTTCTGACTGGCATGGCTGTACATATTCCAATGCAACACCATGTTAACATCTACTGTATGAACAGGCTAAACTGTGCATATTTTGCTGAGCAGACTTTTCTCTGCTTGTGTATCTCCATACTTGTATCAGATAGCTTGAAAAACTATGAATATTTGCTATTGTATAATATCTTTTTATTAAATAATGAAACCATGCGCACTCATTAGAACAGAAATTACAAAGCAGAAATTCAAAGTGTCTACTTTATGTATATATATGGTATGTTTATGTGTTGAATAGAATGATAGATAGTGGAGGTGGGAAGTACTCATGTGTTTCTCTAATCATTTCTCCCACCAATGCCAGACTGTTCCCCCAAGTACCTTTAGATCAGTATTATTATCATTATTCACAAATGCATATGAATTTTCCTCCAGATGGACTACTTGTTAAAATATGCAGCAGCTAACAGAGATTAGTTCTTTTCTTTCAGTTCAGGAAGTTTCTGAAGAAAATCGAGAACTTCTTCGGCAAGCTTTAGAAGAAGAGGAGGAGAAGCTTAGGAAAAGATATGAACTAATTCAACAAATACGAGCTATTGAGTCTTTACCAAGCCTCAGACACAAGTTTGTTGATTTAACTGAGGTAAGCTCGAAAGGAAAAACTACTGTTGTTACATAAATGTATATTATACATGTTTCACACATTCAGAGGAATTGTGTACTGCATGCCAGTATATTGCAGTCTGGCTGCATAGCTTTAAGTACAAAGTGACCCCATGACACAAAGGTTAGATGTGAACTGGAACTTTCACAAAGTTTATAAAATGAAAATTTTACCAGGAAGAATATTCTGATGGTAAGTGAAATCTTAGTCCCCTGGAACTTTTTTTTTTATTTTGCCAATAGGATCTGGGTTTCCTGATATCTTTCAAAAAGAGACTGACAAGCGATTACAACATGTTCTATCAATCTTCACAAATTCACAGATTTGTCAGTCCTGGATAAGGACTGAATGGACACAAGGTTGTTGATGTACAGTTGTTCATATTGCAGTGGTGATTGCCATGGTAATTAGCAAAATTAATTTCATGTGCTTTCAAAACTCTCACCATTCAGGTATATGAAAGGGATTGTCAAGAGAACCCAAAACCTGCTGAGCTGTTATGTATGTACTGTGAAAATGACTTGTGTATGTGGTTAAGTCTACAATAAATTTATCCCAGACTTCTTGGACTTACTATTGATGCACCACAATTGATATGCCTGAGACTGGGCTTTGTAATGCCCATTTCTGCAGAAATTCCAGATTTACGCAGCATCTGGAAATCTGCTATTTTACCACTAAATCAGAAGCAGAATAGCTGAAACTACTCTTCCATTTTTCTTATGCATATTGAAAAAAGAATAACACAGAATAATATAAAATAACACTACCAATTTTAGATATAATCCTTTGGGTTTTTTCTTTCCTTTCTTTCACGAGTATTCAAATGAAGATCTCAAATGAAAAAATATCCATGGCTAGTCTGCAGAAGCGATACAGAAGAAACAGGTCTTCCTTCTATGGGGCTGTTGGAACAGTCAATAAGTTGATTTGGTTTTATCTCCTGCTCCTCTGAAGAGAACTGAGCCATTCATTGATTCCAAAGCTATCTATCTTTGCAGCCACAAGATAAATCCCCCATCTCATTTATCAAATTTTAGAATACAGTTAATGTTAAGGTGTGAAATAAGTGAAGAATAAAATCAGCTCCCCAGATGTCCCATCCTACTTTATTCTCTTTGGTTGCCTTTATGGCTGCTGCCATCACTTCTCTACTTCTTTTTGAGCCAAAGACAGCAATTCTCTTTTTTCAAACCCAGACTCACTGCACCCATTTGTGGAGAAATACTACTGAACCACAATGGAACAAGCAGGGAAAAAAGCGAAGAGTACAAAGAATTATTGTGCCCCACAGATACTGTGAACTATCTGCATGGATATGCCAAAAGGTTCTCCAATCTATAGGTCTTTTACTGCTTCAGATAGAGTTGCATATGGTGTCAACCCTAAACAGAGCCCTTACCATGGTCTCACTGCACATTTGTTACCCAGATGATTCAGTCAGAAGATGTAGGCTGCAAAGACACAACAACATGATGTAGTCGGACGTGGCAATGTCATTATTTTTTCAATCACAACAACTGCTATAAAATTGTGCAGGCTCTCATTCAGGAAAATGAAGGTGACTGGGATGTCAGTACTTTCTTTTGTTTGAACCTAGTTCATTTCATTGCCACTTACAGATGCTGTCAACCCCTCACATAGAGCTTTCACTGAAATACTATTTATTTCTAAGTACAGAATATGGCTTTAAATACATTTTCCCATCTAGCTCATCTCAAAAGACAAAGCAGAAAAATGCAGCAGGTTTCAAGCTATATATGACAAATTCATTAAAAATTCAAGCTTATCCTATGTGCAAGGTTACTAAAGTGTAAGATTGCTGAAACTGGAGTGGCCATACAGGTCATATTGCAAGTACAAGAGAATGGACCTGAACGATATGGATGGACTGTTAAATGCATAAAGAACATTTTTTTCAAAGAGATGCAAAAATAAAGGCTGCTTAATATTGAACTCTTTTTGTCGGTCCTACTGATGGTGACCAATGTTTGATACACAAGGAGCACGGAAGCAGAAACCACTGAGCCAAAATTGAAGAGTCAGACTTTAGGTGAAAGAACAGTGATGTTCTCTTCTTACTGACTCAACTTCTGAAGCTTTAGAAAGAGAAGCTATGGGGACCAAAACTGCAACTTTTGGAGATCTTGGAGGAGTCCCCAGAGATGACCACCCAAGACATGTTCTCCTTCACTGGTTCTCCTTCATTGACAAGCTTGCGTCATTAGATTCTCCAGACTGACTCAATAATCTGTCTTAAGCACCAATGTTGTAGCAGCAGAGGGCCAAGCCTTGTTTTTTGTCTTACTCTATTTTGTGGTTTTATTGCTCCCGCCTGCAACCCCCCCTTACTGTTTTTTTTCATCTCTCTTGGTTTCCCCTCTATTTTATGGACCCACTGCTCTGAACAGCCAGAGAATGATCACTGGAGGACAAGTACCTGAACAGACTGCTTAGCTGGCATCCCAGACCAGAGAAGAGGGGCTGGACAGGGGTCAATTCTTGCAGCCAAACTGAAAATCTGAGCATCTACCTATGACAGATCATCCTTCTCTTTTCCTGGTGTTGTTTTTTTTTTTCTTTCCCTTTCATGTTCTGTTTTGTGAAAAGCTCAAAAGCAGAAAGGTGACTACTATTCTGTCAATAGCTTACTCAGAATTCAATACAAGGACTTTTTTTTTTTTTCCTGC